TACAGGCTGAGCCACTGAGCCTGGCTTTTTAAAAATTTTTTGTAAAGACAAGTTCTTGCTATGTTACCTAGGCTGGTCTTGAACTCTTGGGCTCAAGTGGTCCTCCTGACTTGACCTTCCAAAGTGCTGAGATTATAGATATAAGCCACCATGCCTGGCCTCCAAAATGTTTCTTTCTCTCTTGCATCAATGTTCCCTCTCAACCAAATCTTTCCTATCAGCCCACAAACATGTTATTTCTTTCAGCTTAACAAACAAAAGAACACAAAAACACCTCTCTTAATTCCTTATTGTTTTCCTCCTTTAGTTGCTACTCCATCTCTCCTCTTCCCTTCACAACAGAGTTCCTCAAACAACTTCTCTAAACAATGCTGTCCGACAGAATTTTCTATGATGATGGAAAGGTTCAGAATCTATACTCTCCTGGAGAGTAGCCACAAGTCATATGTGGCTATTTGGTACCTGAAATGTGGCTGGCGAGACTAAGAAACTGGTTTTTAATCGTATTAAATTTTAATTAATTTGCCACACGTGGCTGGTGACTACTGTAATGGATGGCACAAGTATATACTCATTGATCCAATTTCTCTCCTCCCATTCTCTCTTTTTTTTTTTTTTTGAGTTGGAGTCTCATGCGGTCGCCCAGACTGGAGTGCAGTGGCTGCTCCCGGTCACTGCAGCCTCGCCTGCTGGGCTCCAGCGATCCTTCCGCCTCAGCCTTTTGAGTAGCCGGAATCACAGGCATGTGCTACCACGCCTGGCTGATTTTTTGATTTATTGTAGAGATGAGGTCTCGCTGCCCAGGCGAGTCTCGAACCCACGGGCTCAGGCAATCCACTCACCTCAGCCTCCCAAAGGCGCGGGATTACAGGCTGAGCCACCAAGCCCGGCTCTCGAATTCTCTTTGAATTCACCCCAGTCCCTTGCTCTCATTCTTACTAAAATTGTTCTTACATTGCAAATCTAACGGTCAAAGTCTCAGGTCACCTATTACTGGAATTAACTGCAGTTTTTGATACAACTGATGGCTCCTTTCTCCCTGAGGCACTTACGGCCCTTTGCCTCGGGGACACAGGCCTCTCCTAGTTCTCCACCTATCTCTCTGACTATGCCTCCTCACCTTCTCACCCTGTGCATGGTGACAGCTCCAGGGCTCAGTCGATGTACCTCTTCTCTTTCTCAACCTCACTCATTCCTGGGAGAGCTCATCTACTTGCATGGTTGTAAGTACCATCTATATGCTGCTGTTCTGCAAATACGCACCTCTTGCCCTAACTGCTCAGCAAACTCTCTACCTGACACCATCATCTTGATGTCTATCAAGCGTCTTAAACTTAACATGTCTAAATCTGAACTCCTGACCTTGCCCCATAAACCTGTTCCACCCAACAGTCCTTCCTATCTAGGCTGAAGGCAACTCCATCTTTCCTGTTGTTCAGGCAACAAATCTTAGTTATCTTTTTTTTTTTTTTCTTCAGTCAGAGTCTTTCTTGTTCACCCAGGCTGGAGTGCAGTGGCATGATCACAGGTCACAGCACCTCAACCTCCTGGGTTCAGAGGATCCTTCTGCCTCAGCCTCCTGAATAGCTGGGACTGTGTGTGCTGCCATGCCTAGCTGATTTTTTTTTTTTTTTTTGAGCTGGGGTCTCATTCTGTCACCCACGCTAGAGTGGAGTGGAACCATTACAGTTCACTGCAGCTTTAACCTCCTGGGCTCAGGTGATCCTTCCACCTCAGCCTCCCAAGTAGCTGGGACTACAGGCGCACGCCACCACATCTGGCTAATATTTTGACTTTTTGTACAGACAAGGTCTTACCATGTTGCCCATGCTGGTCTCAAACTCCTGGGCTCAAGCAATCCTCCTACCTCAGCCTCCCACAGTACTGGGATTACAGGCATGAGCCACTGCGCTGACCCCAGTTATCTCTGACCCTCTTTCTCTCGCATCTCATAACCACTCTTAGTTGGCTCTGCTCTCTGAAAAGAATCTAGAATCTGATCAAATAATCTGGGTGACTGCGTCTCATTATCTTTGCTCCTCTTACTACCTCTCGCTCTTACTGTGACAGCCTCCTGACTGGTGACCCTGCTTCTGCTCTGCCCCTCTATAGTATATCCTCAGAACAGCAAGCTTATCGATCCTGTTGGCAAATCAACATTAGATCCTGACCCTCCTCTGCTCAACCTCTCCCATGGCTCCATCTTACTGAGTAAAAGCCAAAGTGTCTGACACAACCTTGAAGACTTTGTAAGTGGAGTGGTGTGAACAAGTGGGGAGAAGAGCAGGGGATGGGGTCAGCGACCTTGTTCACACCACTCCAGCCACCCTGATGTCCTTACTGTTCTTTAACAGGTGGGCTCCCACCTCAGGGCCTTTGCATCTGCTGTTCCCACTTCCTGGTATGCTCTACCACCAGGTACGAGTATGCACTATTTCCTCTAGATCTTTTGTGGGGTTTTTTTGTTTTGTTTTGTTTTTTGAGTTGGAGTCTCACTCAGTAGCCCAGACTGGAGTGCAGTGGCCGCTCCCGGCCACCGCAGCCTCGACCTGCTGGGCTCCGGCGATCCTTCCGCCTCAGCCTTCCAAGTAGCTGGAATTACAGGTGCGCGCTACCACACCTGGCTCCTCTTTATTTATTGTAGAGATGAGGTCTCGCCAAGTTGCCCAGGCGGGTCTCAAACCCACGGGCTCAGGCAATCCACTCACCTCAGCCTCCCAAAGGCGCAGGATTACAGGCTGAGCCACCAAGCCCAGCTCCTCTATGTCTCAAATGTCACCCTACCTGATACTGCATCCTGCCCATCCCCATCTCTACTTTCTGTCTCCTAATTTATTATTTTTCCTTAGCTTCCTGAGGACAAGGGGTTTTATTTATTTTGCTTCCTACTAATTCCCCAGCATCTGGAACTGTCCCTGGCAGGCCTCATTCAATATTTGTCGAATGAATGAGTGGCTGCCCAGGAGATCAGGTTACACCAGGATCATTACAAGCCCACTAACATAAAGCCAGAGACCTAAGGTAGGTCACATCCGTTTCTAGGTGACAGGCTGAGGGCAGGATAGGCTAGCCTGAGGGCTACTCTTGATGCAGGCAAAAAGTAGGACCCACCGTGCTGATGTGAAGAGCAAGGTTCTCTGTGTCTGTCTGCTCATCTTGCTCCGAGGAATCCGTCTCTTCCATTTGCTGCATCTCCAGCTCAGATGGAAGAAGAGCTGTCAGGTAGGGGATGGTGAAAGGTCTGGCAGCAATTACTGGGGAATTAGGAGAGAGGCACGATTCTGCTGTCATGAAGTCCTTGCAGCTGGCCTAGAGTCTTACACAAATCAGTGAGCAGCACCAAAAGACAATGCTAGCCAGCATGCTTGAGCACTTACACTACAGCCAGGCAATGTCCTACAGGCATCACTGGTGTTATCTTTAAGAACTGTTCTCTAGTAAGTAAGTAAAATTAGGCACAGAGAGGTGAGATGATTTTCTCAAGCACACAGAAAATGGCAGAGTGGGATTTGAACCCAGGCAATATGACTTCAGAGCCCATTTTTAACAAGTACAAATGAGATCAGATAGAAGTGGGGCCAGCAATGCACCCACTTTGTGATATTGTACTTGAGCTCAGTTAATCCTTCTAAATCTCATTTCTGGAGCAGGAAAGGGCTTTCAACCTAAAGGATTCGATCCAAAGATTGGACTTGAGCACTCTCTCAAGGGGGACCCAAAAAAGTCAGAATTATCTTTTGGAGGGTAGGTTCCTTGTAGTACAGGCCTCCCCCCTGCTAGGTAAGTGTTCTAGGAACCCGTCGGCATTAGTGTACTACCTAGCATTGCTGTAAGATACTGAGCTCAGCTTCGGTGAATTTTTTTGGAGATTCTTTCAATATGTTTGCCCCATCTCAGGATGGGTGATTTACAAATGTACTTGCCCATACCACTTTGAGTGTTCACTAGTTTTTGACCAAAAAAGGCATGAACCCCCGTGCTCCACCTTCCCTATTCACCTGAGTAATTTTTTTTTGTTTCCCCGGATGAAAAAAGTCCTTAATGGCAGAAGCACTAAAAGGTATCAAAACTGACGAGTTCAAAAACGGTTTTGAGTGGTGGAAACAGCATTTCAATACATAAATTGCATCAAACAAATAATACTTTGAAGGTGACTGAAGTTTAAACATGTAACAATAAATACTTTTTTTGGTAAATAAATTCTGGGTTTTTTTGGGTTGTCACCCCTTGTAAGTATGTGCACTGAGTCATAAGACACTTCTGGGAATTGAGAGTTACAGTTTTTCCAAAAAAGCAATGAGGATGAGAAGAAATTGAATAATAAAAAATAATAATTAAAAGAAAGCCTAGGCCAGGCATGGTGGCTCACACCTATAATCTCAGCACTTTGGGAGGCCGAGGTGAGAGGATTGCCTGAGCCCAGGAGTTTGAGACCAGGCTGGACAACTTGGTGAGACCTCATCTCTACAATAAAAAAAAAGAAAAAAAAAAAAAATATATATATATATGCAAGGTGTGGTGGCACGTGCCTGTAGTTCCAGCTACTTGGAAGGCTGAGGCAGGATTACCTGAGCCCAGCAGGTCAAGGCTGCGGTGGCCGTGAGCGTGCCACTGTACTCCAGCCTGGGTGACAGAGTGAGATGCCCAACTCAAAAAAAAAAAAGTGTCTATGTATACTCTTTTTTTTTTTTTTAACTGAACCTATACTCTATTAACTATGTATAATTCCATGATAAAATAGAATATTTCCTGTAACTGTCAGGAAATACTCTAAAATGTTTACTGTGGGTCAGATGTGGGCTCCTGCAGTAAGAGAGAGGTGGTGTTTGAGTGCTACCTAGTAGCCAAGTAACCTTGAGCAAGTTACTTCATTTCTCCTCTCTATGAGCCTCAAAGGTGGTGATGACAAGTTTCCGACCCACAGGCTAACAAGATTCAATTAGATGATGCATGGGAAGTGTTTAGCAAGTATCTGGCACGTAATAACCGGTAGTTGCTGTAATTCCAGAGCCAGGTACACAGCAGGCATCTGACAGGAGCTTGCTGTATGAATGACCATTCAGACCAATCTCCCTCATTCACCTCTGTAAGAACCGAGGCTTTTGGAGATGAAACCACTTGGTCAACACAGTCAAATGATACTGAGATGCAAAATTAAATGAGATGGGGCCTGGGAGAGAACATCACCATGGGTAACTGGCCCCTAATGCCAGTGTTCTTTCTGCTACCTGGGCTGCTATTTCTCCCATATGGGTCTCTCTGATACCTGAGGCTCGGCTAACCTCAAGGTAACCTAAACTCAATGAACCTCAAGTGGCTAATTCCAACAGAGGCCACCTCTGTTTTGGAATCATCAGTTAGGGACAGACTCTTAAGACCTGGGAAAAGGAGCCAGCTATCTGAGGAACCAGCTGCACCCCAGAGAAGGCCAAAAGCTTACTTGTTTCTTCCCACCATGCTGAGAGAAAGGAAGGATAGGGTGATTATCTTAAATGACAAGATAGGGCCCATAGAAGGGACAACTCTCACGTGGAAATGTGCTGACGTCATCTTTGAAAAGACTCTGGGTCTCGCCTGTCTTGGCCATGAAACGGGTAAGTGCCCGCTCCACATCACGCCTCTGGGACGCAGCCTTCTCCCGTAGGACCTGGTAGTCCGACACAGGCTCACGGTATGTCTACAAAGAGAAAAGCAAAGAATGAGGGTAATGCTGACATATCATTCCGCTCTCCTTAGGTCCTGGCTTGTTGGTGCTACATCCTTGCACCCTATAAAATGGCTCACTACCATTATTTAGGACAGACATCTCCAAGATGCAGCATAACAACAGAAAGAAAACAATGTAACTACATTAATATTTCTAATCTTAAAAATTAAGAAATGTGCAAATACTTACAATCTGATTGACCCTAGGCCTTCACTCAGCTCCCATGACAGCTATAAGAGACACATCCTGAAGGCAGAGTGGGAGTCCCCCAGGGAAGCCCTGACAGTGACTGCTGGTTCCATCAGTGTCATGTGACCTCCCACAGTATGGGAGTGGCTGCCTAAATGGATTTGCAGATTGGTCCATCCTATTTTCTTAAATCAGCCCTCACAGTATGGATACATTCTTCCAGAAGATTCCCTCAAAGAAATAAGAGACTGAAGATACTGCTGCAGGTGTAAGTGAAGAAGAAAGCAGCAGGCTGCCACTCCTCCCCCCGTTATGAGCTTGTTGGCAATCAAGTTCTGGAGTGGAAAACTATTGAGATTTGCGAACGTAACTGGAATGAGAAGTTAGCCAGTTAGCCAAAACCTTTTATATTTTTTAATATTTGTCTTGCCCACTTCCCATCCAAAACATTTTTGGGGGTCTCTTTGGGTCCCCTCTTGTAAGTATGTGCACTGAGTCATAAGACACTTCTGGGAAATGAGAGTTCCAGTTTTCCCAAAAAGCAATGAGGATGAGAAGAAATTGAATAATAAAAAATAATAATTAAAAGAAAGTCCCAGCCAAGCATGGTGGCTCACTCTTATCATCCCAGCACTTTGGTAGGCCAAGATGAGATGATTGCCTGAGCCCAGGGGTTTGAGACCAAGCTGGGCAACTTGGTGAGATCTCATCTCTACAAATAAAAAAAAAAACATTAGCCAGGCATGGTGGCACAAGCCTGTAGTTCCAGCTACTTTGAAGGCTGAGGCAGAAGGATTACCTGAGCCCAGCAGGTCAAGGCTGCGGTGACCATGAGCGTGCCACTGTATTCCAGCCTGGGTAACAGAGTGAGACTTCCAACTAAAACCAAAAAAAAAGCCTCTATGCATACTTTTAACTGAACCTATACTTATTTATTTATTTAATTATTTATTTAGAGTCAGAGTCTCACTCTGTCACCCAGGCTGGAGTACAGGAGCACACTCACGGCTACCCCAGCTTCAAAGCACTGGACTTATGCGATCCTTCTGCCTCAGTCTTCCAAATAGCTGGAATTATAGGCGTGCACCACCACATATGGCTAATTTTTGTATTTATTATAGAGATAAGGTCTTGTCAAGTTGCCCAGGCAGGTCTCAAACCCCTGGAATCAGGCAATCTTCTGGCCTCCGTCTCCCAAAGTGCTGGGATTACAGACATGAGCCACCATGCTAGGCCCAAAACATTTTAAATGGTGATAACAATAGTGACATTTTAACAATTACTAAAAAAGTAACTACTCTTCATGATATGGAGATGGGTCTTTAAAGGAAGTGCTCAGAAATGTTTCCACTGTGGTCACTGTCAATTCAAATGTGTACACCCCTTACAGTTCCTATACCTATTATTTTTTTTCTTTTTTTTTTTTGAGTTGGTACTTCACTCTGCTGCCCAAGCTGGAGTGCAGTGGCACGATCACAATTCACTACAGCCTCGACATCCTGGGCTCAGGCAATTGTCCTGCTCAGCCTCTCAAGTAGCTGGGACTACAGGAGCACACCACCACATCTGGCTAATTTTTTAGAGATGAGGTTTCGCTATGTTGCCCAGGCTGGTTGTGAACTCCTGGACTCAAGGAATCCTCCCACCTCGGTCTCTCAAAGTGCTGGGATTAGAAGTGTGAGCCACCATGCTTGGTTCTCATGTTGATCCTTTTTTTTTGAGTTGGAGTCTCACTCTGTTGCCCAGATTGGAGTGCAGTGGCTGCTCCCGGCCACCGCAGCCTCGACCTGCTGAGCTCTGGCAATCCTTCCACCTCAGCCTTCCAAGTAGCTGGAACGACAGGTACGCACTATCATGCCCAGCTAATTTTTTGATTTATTGTAGAGATGAGGTCTCGCCAAGTTGCCCAGGCAGTTCTCAAACCCGCGGGCTCAGGCAGTCCACTCACCTCAGCCTCCCAAAGGTGCGGGATTACAGGCTGAGCCACCAAGCCCGGCTCCCATGTTGATTCTTAACCATAGAAACAGAATTTTCTGGGCAACCCCTTCGGGTCCCCTCCTAATGTGGGAGTTTTTCTGTCCTCTCAATAAATCCTGCTTTCTAAAAAAAAAAGGAATTTTCTGATATGTTTAAAATCTTCCCAAAATAAAAATGAGTCTGTTTTAACCATATTGTACTTGCCAAAAACATTAAAATATAAAATTTTATCATTATTTCCAGGACAACAGTTTGACTTCCAATAAGTTAGAAATGTAATCGAAAATTTTTAACAAAATTATTTGTTAAATACCACTGGTTAAATTGTCACTGGTTAAATTACTTATTAAACTATCTCTCTGGTAAATGAGAATTTAAAAATTAGTTTTATTTTTAATTTTTTTCTTTTTGAGTTAGAGTCACACTCTGTTGCTCAGGCTGGAATGCAGTGGCATGCTCACAGCCACCACAACCTCAACCTGCTGGGCTCAGGCCATCCTTCTGCCTCAGCCTTCCAAGTAGCTGGAACCACAGGCACCCACAACCATGGCCAGCTAATTTTTTGATTTACTGTAGAGACAAGGTCTTGCCAAGTTGCCCACGCTGATCTCGAACCCCTGGACTCAGGCAATCCTCTTGCCCCTGCCTACCTAAGTGCTGGGATTATAGGCATGAACCACTGTGCCCAGCAGTTTTATGATTAAGAGCACCCAACAATGCTACATATCTTTGTAATGGACCTTTCTCAACTATGAGAACCATAACAAGATCAAAATAAACTGGTCTTAGAATCAGACTTCCAAGTCGGGCTCGATGGCTCAGCCTGTAATCCTGCGCCTTTGGGAGGCTGAGGTGAGTGGATTGCCTGAGCCCGCGGGTTCGAGACCCGCCTGGGCAGCGAGACCTCATCTCTGCAATAAATCAAAAAATCAGCCAGGCATGGTAGCGCGTGCCTGTAATTCCGGCTACTCGGAAGGCTGAGGCAGAAGGATCGCTGGAGCCCAGCAGGTGGAGGCTGTGGTGGCTGGGAGCGGCCACTGCACTCCAGTCTGGGCGACAGAGTGAGACTCCAACTCAAAAAAAAGAGAATCAGACTTCCAGCTGGGTGCAGTGGCTCACGCCTATAATCCCAGCACTTTGGGACACCAAGGTGAGAGGATTGCCTGAGTCCACGGGTTCGAAACCAGTCTGGGCAACTTGGCAAGACCTCATCTTTACAACAAATTAAAAAAAAAATTAGCTGGGCATGGTGACACATGTCTGTAGTTCCTGCTACATAAAATAATTCGAGAATATTATGGGTTGAATTGTATCCCCACAAAAAGCATTTTGATTATGCCCTAATACCTTAGACTATGATCTTATTTGGAAATAGGGCCATTACAGATGTGATCAATTAAGATGAGGTCATACTGCAATATGACTGGTGTCCTTATACGAAAATGGTGGCTGTGCATGGTGGCTCACACCTGTAAGGAGCCTGAGTTGGGAAGACTACTTAAACCCAGGAGTTTGTCAAGACCAGCCTGGGCAGCATAGTGAGACCTCATCACTACAAAAATAAAAAAATTAGTCAGGTGTGGTGGCACACGCCCATAGTCCCAGCTACTTGGGAAGCTGAGCAGAAGAATCACCTAAGCCCAGGAGGTGGAAGCTACAGTGAGCCATGATCATGTACTGCACTCCAGCCTGGGCAACAGAGTGAGACCCCGACTCAAAAAAAAAAAAAAAAAAAAGAAAGAAAATGGCTAATTAAAGACAGAGAACCAGAGAGAGCACCAAGTGAAGACAGAAGACTGGAGTGCTGCATCTACAAGCTAAAGGATGCCAAAGAATGTCGGTAAAACACCAGAAGCCAGGGAGAGGCAAGGAAAGACTCTCCTATGGGTTTCAGAGGGAGCATGGCCCTGTCAACACCTTGGTTTTGTCCAGAACTGTGAGACAATGCATTTTTGTTGTTCGAAGTCAACTATTTTGTGGCACTTTGTTACAGCAGTCCAAGAAACTAAGAGAGAGATCTTATCAAGGACAATGGCTGTATTGCCTCAGAGGGGCAGCCATTTATGCTTTCCCTCCGATACTGAGGTGTAGAAAAATATCCCAGAGGACTTGCCCCAACAGCCTGCATGATGGCCAGCACTACATACTGTGGAGGTGGAAAAAAAGATGTGTGAGAGGATGCCTTTTAAACACTGCACCTTCCCAGGGGAGGGTGAAACTGCTAATCAGGCAAGTTAGAACACATTCGAGCCCCAGAGGAACCACAGAGGACAACTCAACTCCTCCTTATTCAGACCTAGAGCTAGGAATACAATTAATTTCATTTCATGACATGACCATGTATTTTTTTTTTTCAAATTGATTATTTTATTAACATGGTAGATGTCTTTGTAACATGTGCACACACACACGCACACTCAAAATGATCTGCCTGGGGAAAAATACTAAATGTGCCTAAGGGGAACATGAAAAATAAAAAAATCCCTGTAGGTTTTCATTATTATAGGCAATTATGTCCACATCACTTACAAAGCTATTGCCAAATCTGTCCAAGGAAGCAGAGTTTGAAAGGGGTGAGAGAATCTTGGAAAAAATTCAACAGTGGCATAGCAGAGCTCTCAATATGAGAAAGCTGACATAATGTGGACTTTTGCTGTGAATTTTCTCTTTGCAAAATATGGGGAGAGGTTTATCAATGGGCAGAAAATAAGAGAAGGTGGTGTGAAGTAGGCTTTTGCGGTCAGTACTCCTCACAGTATTGTGCAGGGTCATCAAAGGAAATGCTTAGTCTTTCTCTGGAACCAGTTTCAGAACTTTTCCAATTGCAATGGTTTTACCCTCATCTCTTAAGGTAAAACGACCCATCTGAGGGAAGTCTTTGAAGGTCTCAAGGCAGATGGTTCCTGCTGTCCTTAAGTGAGCAATGCACACTTGATCTTGTTTCATAAAACAGGGTCGAGTCTTACTTTTTTCTCCTGATTTTTTGGTCCACCAAGCAGATTAAGGCTGTTATTTCGACTTCCTCAATACAGGTGTGAATGTGCAGCACCACATTATACCCTGGGCAGATGATGGATTTGTGCTCTATAATCACTATCTGGGCATCAAATGTGTGTCCAGAATGACAAAGATTATTAGGATCACAAAGTATGAATCCTGGAAGAATCTCCTCTTCTTCAATGCCTTTCAGTCTAATTTTGAGGTTTTCACCTGGGGCTACAGTATCAGGTTATACATCATCGGAAAGTATTCAAGAACTTCCACATTGTGCTTGTTTGGCATCATCACAAGCTGCTGGTCTTTACAAATAGATCCTGACTCCAGCCTCCCCAGGACCACAGTGCCCATATCCTTGTACTTATCCACAATTGGCAGCCTGATTGGTCCATCAACTGATCTATTGAAGTTTGGCAAATTATCCAGATATGGAATAAATGGTAATCCAATGTACCAAGGACAGAAATCTGATTGCTCTTTGAGATTCGCTCCAGTCAGTCCTGAGCAGGGCATAAAATGAATGTCCTTTTTGGGAAGGAAGCCCACTTTTTAAAAAAATGGCACTAGTTTCTCTTTACGTTCTTCATACCTCTCATTACTCCAATTTACTGTTGGGTCATCCATCTTATTAATAAGCACAATTAAGTGTTTTACACCTGCTGTCTTTGCCAACATTGCATGTTCTCTTGTCTGTCCTCCTTTTTCAAACCCAGTTTTGAATTCCCCTTTCCTGGCTGAAATGACCAGCACAGCCAAATCAGCTTGGGAGGTACCACCAATCAAATTTGGGACAAAACTCTTGTGTCCAGGGGCATCCAGAATTATGAAATGCTTCTTTTCAGTTTCAAAATAGGCACGACCCACTTCTACTGTTTTACCCTTGTCTCATTCTTCCTGATTTGTGTCTAAGGCCCAAAACAAGTACCAAGTTTCTCTGTTTTTTTTCTTTAGCTTCTCTTTCATACTTCTCAAGTGTCCTTCTGTCAGCCATTCCAGTCAAATACATGATTTGTCCTTCAATGGTTGACTTGCCAGCATCCACATGGCCAATGAACACTACATTTACATGCTCCTTTTGAGGAGCACCTGTAGGTGCAACCACAGATTTAGGATTTGGTATCTCCTCTTTCTCCTCCATCATTTCTTGGGCACTTTCCTCTGGTGGTCTTCCATCTCCCAAGGAACCACCCCCTCGCTCTGCTTCACTTATTTCTTCTTTGTGCTCCCATGATTCTTCTGGGGACATTTCCGTTTCTCCATTTTCTACAACAGGTTCTGAAAGTTCCATGCTAACAGCTGAATTTGAACCCTCACACAGCAATGACTGTTCCTCCTGAGAGTATTCCACAGGTGTTTCGCCTCGGTAGTTCTCCGTCCTGTCTGCCCTCATTTCCGGCTATTGAGCACAACAGAATGAGGAACTATGAGCTCCGGAACTATGAGCTCCGGCAGCGCCCGCGCGACCTTGCTGCGGGTTTCACCATGTATTTTTAAAGTAACTTTCCGATTTAAAACATAACTTTTCTCTTACAGAAAATTTGAAGAATAGCCAAGTGCAGTGGCTCATACCTGTAATCCCAGCACATTGGGAAGCAGAGGCAAGATGACTGCCTGAGCCCAGGGGTTTGAGACCAGCCTGGGCAACTTGGCAAGACCTCATCTCTACAATAAATCAAAAAACCAGCCAGGTGTGGTGGTGCACACCTGTAGTTCCAGCTATTTGGAAGGCTGAGGCAGAAGGATCGCCTGAGCCTAGCAGGTCGAGGCTACAGTGGCAGTGAGTGTGCCACTGCACTCCAGCCTGGACGACAAGGTGAGACTCTGACTCAGGAAAAAAAAAAGAAAATTTGAAGACCCTAGAGAAGCACATGCAAAACAACAAAAATGACCTATTATCTCACCAAGAATTACTATGAACGCTTTGTGAAATATCCTTACAGTCTTGTTTCAATGTGGCTTAAACTTTTGTGTTTTGGTGAGACAGGCAACATTGGGGCCAGCTTCAATCTCTTTGATAACTATGCTTTTGTTGGCAAACTTGAGAACATACTTCTCATTTGCTAAGTTGTTTTTCACTGGAGAAAGATATTCTAAGTTCTGAGCTTTCACCAACAAGCTTCTGGACTGCCATCTGACAGTCAGTAGGAACTGACTCTGAGCTTTCCATTAGTCACAGCTTCCAGTGTGGCCTCATCACTTACCGGAGTTTTGATATAGGTGTGGGGATCAGGGAACTCAGGAAAATGGCTGGGGATGTGCGGCGGGTGAGGTCGGTTCTGCCCTGCAGTGAGAGCCTTGGGGGTCACTGGCTGATTGGTCACCGGAGCTGCAACAGAATCACGATTGGTTACTCCTTCATCCAAGGCCCTGACTTCTACGGATTATGGTGTCTAATCAAACATTTATTTTCTCAAAATAAATGCTAGACCTCGATTTTCTAAACAACAAGCACTTTGTGTTTCTGTTCATAAAAGGCCCTCAATGGCTTGAGGACGTAGAAGGTCATCCCCACAACATGCAGCTCTGCTGAATAACCTTGGTTGGCATTCCCCTCGACAACAATCTGCCCGCAAGCCTCTTGGCAGGTAGGTAGGTGGTTATGGTCCCAGTAACCAGCTAAAAGAGTATGTTGAGGGGCTCAGAGAGTTAGATGGGCTGCTGATTCTCTCTCAGAGGCCTTGGATAACAAAGATCAATACTAGGCTGGGGAAAGTCAGCATGGACTTAATGAGAACAGCAGGGATTCAAAGTGGTACCTTCCACTGCTATCTTGAGAGAATTTTGAAAGATGCCAATATGGGCTGAGTGTGGTGGTACCCGCCTATAATCCCAGCACTCTGGGAGGCAGAGGTGAGAGGATCGCTTGAGCCCAGGAGTTTGAGGCCAGCCTGGGCAACATAGTGAGACTTCATCGCTACAAAAAATGTTTACAAATATTAAAAATTAAAACTAAAACTCAAATGTCAACAAGAAAGAGGTAACTTAAAAGAAAAAAAATCCAGTAAATTCTCCCCAGGTCCCACAAGCCCAATAGGTTGTTAGAAGGTTATTTTCTACTCAGCTCACTATACCCATTTCTACCTAAGGCAGAGGTCATTAAACTTTTTGTGCAGAGGGCTAGATAGTAAATATTTTAGGCTTCACAAGCCATGTGGTTTCTGTCACAACTAAACTCTACCATTATAGCATGAAAGCAACCACAGATAATAATACAGTCATGTTCAAATAAAACTTTACTTATAAAAACAGGCAACAGACTGCATTTGGCCCATAGACCTTAGTTCATCAACTCTTTATCTGAGGGAGAAGAACTTTCATGTTTTCCAAGTAGTATAATTTATTCTTCTGGAGCTAAAGCATAAGAAGCACAGAAATATCTCAGAGATGGTTTATCTTTCTGGTGACTGAATTTCACATCCTAATCCGGCCAGCCCAGATAAAGTGTATACTGTAGGTAGCCCCAAAGATTGGAAGGGAGCCTGCAATAAATAGCTACCAATCCAATCCCTGCCCTATTCAACTAACTGATCCTACAAGCATTAATTGATAATTTACTAAGCACCTCAGTTCAAAGTCACTTACGGGCAGTGATGACCATCCTCTGAGACCGTTTTGCATAAGCAGGGAGTGTGTCCACATTGAAACCTAAGAGACAGGAAAACAAAATCACTGCCCAGACCACTGGATACTGAACATGGGAAGGGAACTAATATCAAGGAGAAATGGCTGAAATTTCCAATTCAACCACTCTGCTGCCATACAAAAGAAGTTCTAGCAGAATTCCCCAACAGAGAGTTAGGAGACATCTTAAATGGGTTCAGGGGAACCTCTCTCGATAACTCTCTCAAGCTAAAAGCAAATCATGAGAACCACCAGGGAAACCAAGAACACACAGCAGACATGGCTGACCCCGAGGGACTCCCTCGTCTCTTGTAACCACAACTCAGTTGCAGCGGAGAAGTGGAAAGTGAAGTTGTACTCACCCATCTCTACAAGTGTAACCACGATGTCTGACAGTGTGGGCTGGGTCCTGGCTGTGTGTTCACAGTAAGACTTGGCACTCCTACCAATTTCTGAAATGTCTAAGGAGGTTCAAAGGCGTAAAATATTATGCTCAGTTCCTGAAAAGTTAAACATAGAATTACCATATGACACCCGTAAGCCTAGCACTTTGGGAAATCAAGGTAGGAAGACTGCTAGAGCCCAAGAGTTCAAGACCAGCCTAGGCAACATAGGGAGACCTTATCTCTACAAACAAATAAAAAAATTAGAAAGCTGAGTTTGGTGAATGGGTTTCAACAGTCTATGGAAGATTCCAGGGATACTCTGAAATCAGGTTGAATTTTACACACACAAAAAGCATTTTTAACATTCAGCTGGGTGCGGTGGTTCACATCTATAATTCCAGCACTTTGGGAGGCTGAGGCAAGAGGATTGCCTGAGTCCAGGGGTTTGAGACCAGCCTGGGTAACTTGGTAAGACCTTGTCTCTGCAATAAATAAAAAAAATTAGCTGGGCATGGTAACGCACACCTGTAATTTCAGCTACTTGGAAGGTTGAGATAGAAGGATCGCCTGAACCCAGTAGGTTGTAGTGGCTGTGGAGTGTGCACTCCAGCATGGACAACAGATGAGACTTCCACTCAAAAAAAAAGCATTTTTCTGGGAATGACTCCAAAGATTTAATCAAAAGAGGCAGCAAAAGGTAAGGAACCTCTGCTTTAGAAGCCTAATGTTTGAGAAGACAAAAGCAAATGGTGTTTGACAGAAAAGGGTATCCAACTGAATACCCACCACTGATTACCCTTCTACCCTAGGCAAGTCACCAACACCAGCCTCCAGACAGGACCTTTAAACCTTATAAGATCTTTCCAAGAACTGAATTCTTATCTGTTGGGAACTATCAGTTCATTCCTTCAATACAGATGTGCTCAAAGTGTGGTCTGGGGACCCCAGGAGTCCCCAAAATCTTTCTGAAGTCTACAGGTCAAAACTATTTTATTTATTTTTTAAGTTAGGGTCTTACTATGTTGTCCAGGTTGGAATGCAATGGCATGATCACAGTCTCCACCTCCTGCCTCAGCTTCCTGAGTAGTTGGGACTACAGGTTCATGCCACCGTGCCCAGTTAATTTTTTAATGTTTTTAGAGACGAATTATCAAGATGTTGCCCAGGTTGGTCTCAAACTCCTGGCCTCAAGCAACCCTCTTGCCTCGGCCACCCAAACTGCTGTGATTACAGGTGTGAGCCACTGCATTTGACCTAAAACAGCAATATTAAGGGCACCCACAAGTCACCAGAAGTTTACAATCTCCCTAGCACTGAATGGTTTAAATATACATTTCACTTATACTCACAACTCCATGAGGTACAAATTATCATCCCTTTCCACAGATAAGGAAATTGAGATTCAGGAGGTTTACTGACTTCCCCAAGATATTAAACAGCAGAGTGACAGACCCAGAGCTATTTGATTCCAAAGCCTGTAAGTCACTTTACTATGCTCTTTTTCTTATATCCTCTCAAACACTATCACAATGCAGAGCACTGAACTAATGCTGGATTGACTAAAAGAAGGGCTAGTGTTTCCCCGTACTCACAGCTCTGCAACATCTCTGTCAATGTTTCCACAGATGCTTTCTCAGCGCTCTCAAACCCTGCCTCTGTCAGCAAGGAGCTCACAACCACTTGCAGTGTTCTCCTCCGGGCCAGATAGTAGTTATCAGCGGGGTTAGTAGACTGTTTACTTCCAGATCTCTGTGAATCAGCAGCCCAGAGACAGAAAAGATTTTCATTCACAGGACAGTATGCAATCACACAGTTCACATACCGTAAATGGGAAGCAAAAGTTCTTTTGCTAAATACCTCTTTATCAGTGCTTAATGTTTAGATCTTTGCCAACTGAGTAATAATTGAGCAACCAGGGTCCTCTAAATAAAGAGACAACTTCCTGCCTACCTATAAGTGTATGGTTTCGGTAAGATAAAATAACTTTTTTTTTCAACTTTCTACTTTAGCCGATTGTCAGAATATATAATTGAAGAAACACGTATGATGAGATTGAATTAATAAATCTATCTCCCAGGGGGGGAAAAACGGGATCTCTCCCACCTCCATACCATTTCATTAACAGGGAAAGTTAAAACAGTAACAACACGTGATGCTGAGGACAGGCAGGCCAAGGATAACAGCACAGAAAAAGTAGGAAAGCTAAATATTTTGAAACAGGAATCCCTCCCAACTTTGGCTGGCCAATAAGAAGGCGAAAGCGGCCTCTTCGGGCCAATCAGGAGGTGCTCCGGATTCCCAACCCCCCATACAGAGAATGAACCAATCAGGACACAGGGCCACCAACTCAGGAGGCCGCAGCCAAGTGCCAAGGAGGGAGGTACGAACGGCCCGAAAGACCCTCCTCTGCTCGAAGATGTGACTCGTTGCCCCGGCTGAGAAAAACTTGCAGAAGGCCCAAACTCTCTCGGCTTTGGCCCACGCCTCCTGCCCTTACCGTTCCGGAGCCGCTGGCCCCAGCTGCGGCCGCCGCGTCGGCCATCTTGCCTTGGCGTCGTGTGCGTGAGCGCGGAGCAGCATGGGACTTGTAGTCACGGGGCGGGGCGAGGCGGTGCGCGCCCCTCTGGGTTTCCTGCAGCCCGGTCGCTTGGGGGCTGCGTCGGGTGACCCCGACTCACGTGACCTCTTGTGAGCCAAGTGTTCGTGGGTTCTTCAGTGGGCTTGGGAATGGGCCAGGAAAATGCGCTCTGGGTTCCCCTGAGTTAAAAGAAACCTATTTTAATAGAAAATCCGTTCCTATAAAAGAACACACTCTTAGGTGGCTCACACCTGCAATCGCAGCACTTTGGGAGGCTGAGGCGAGAGGATTGCCTGAGCCCAGGTGTTCGAGACCAGCCTGGGCAACATGGCAAGACCTCGTCTCTACAGTTAATAAAAAAAAAAAATTAGCCGGGCGTGGTGGCGCGCACCTGTGTTCCAGCTACTTAGAAGACTGGGGCGGAAGGATCGCCTGAGCCTAGCAGGTCGAGGCTGCGGTGACCGTGAGCGTGCCACTGCACTCCAGCCTGGACTGCAGAGAGAACCTCCTACTCGAAAATAAAAAATAAAAATAAAGAAAGGAAAGGAAGAAAGAAAAAACACACTCCTGGAAGAATCTAGGCGGTCCTCCACATTTGCAGAGTTTTCCAAACTCTGAGCATTAGCAACACCTGGCCGGGACCAGCCCAGCACCAGGGACTCCCTCTCTGGGACAGGGACCCGGGAAGCTCTACGATTAACGGGCTCCCCAAGAGACTCTCTGGAGCGGGTAGTTTGGAAAGTCTCGTGATTTTGTGCTGCTGGCCTCGCAGCCGGTCAGCGGCCCCCGGTCCGAGCCTTTCTCTGCATCCTGCAGCCTTCTCGCCTTCGATTCGCAAGCGTCCGCAGGGCGAGCCCGGGAGGCACCGGAGCGGCGGGAGGCTTGTCCCGGCGTCCCCGCGGCTACGGGCGACTTTCAGCCACTCGCCTGCCAGCCCCTCTGGACCGGGGGTGCCGGGGGTGGTGACCGCCCCGCGCCTCCTGATTCGACCCCACTGGCAGGTGCCTGGCAGGACGCAGGCGCCGGGTCTGAATCCCGAAGGCTCGCTAGCTGTGGACTTTGGGCACAGGACCTCGCCGTGCCTCAGTTTCCCCTTCTGTGAAACCCGAGCCGGGGAGACGAGATCAGACACCTGTCACGGTGCGGTGAGAGTTGGAGAACTCGCGCCTCCTGTTGTTTATTTCCTGGGTA